AAGTGAATTTTAATAACTCAAGGTTATGTATAGTTATTTAATGGTAGAATGAATTATATCTTTTGCAGTATTCATTATATCAAGAGCACCCTTACTTATTAAATCCTCTGCTAACTCTGTACCCAATTTTAACGCTGCATCCAAATCTAAATAACTAATTTTCCCTGGTGTAACACCAACAAATTGTCTTGGTTGTTTGTATGGACATTTCTTTGGGGGTTCTCCATTTTCACTTCTGTACTGATCAATATGGCTCTGTATGACTTTTTTATCTGCCAACTCAGTAGAAGATGAACATTGTAATGCTTCTGAGCCATCAAGGCTCCAAACACCACCATCCAAAGACATGGCATTTTTTGTTAAACAAACAGTAGATCTTATACCAACTGGTGCACTGCATCCACCTCCCAATCGTGTGAGGAAGCCTCTTTCAGCAACAACCTAAAGGCAAGTACAAAAATAAATTTTTTTTTTTTTAAATTACAAATATTATTATACATATAATAGAATAATTAATACAGTTCAACTATAAACATTTATAATCAAAATTCACTATTATTGAAATTAGTATTTTTTAGTTGAAAGCAATTTTTAATTTCATAATAATTTTATGACAATTTTCTTAAATAAATATTTTAATTAAAATAATGTATTTGTTTAATTTGAGATTTTAACCTTGTTTTTATGCCTAAAAATATATAAATAACACAGATATTCATGATGATGATAAATACTATAAGCAATGCATAAGTTATTATGTGTATGAATAATTAAGAATTTAAGAAAAATATTTAATGATAACTAGCATTTAGAAATTATGATAAGTACTTATAAAGCTATGTATCAAAAAATAATTTTTGTTGACAGTTGCATATGACATGGTTAAATTACTATTCAATGATAAGATTTTTCTAAGCACATAATATATAATGGTATTCGTTTAGTATGTGACCTACCATATAAGGTGTTTGTTTTGCATGTGTGACCTACAGGGCTGATAATTAATTTAAAAACATTCAAATTAAAAATTATATAATTAGGTTATTTTATTATTACAGATTTGGCCCAAACTGAGATTAGAATTGCATCGTGCATTAAGATCAGTATATGGAAAAAATCCATTTGTTGATCGAATTGATTTATATGTCTGATATCCTTTTGTGATACATCGTATAGTGCTGATTTCTCGAATTTCACCAGTAGCCAATCTTTTTTTCCTTATGTACATCTTTGTTTCACCATGACATTTATGGCATAAATTAGTTTTGTTATTTTGTGGTAACAGTTTATTCTTTTGTAAAAATTCTAATACTGTTTTTTTCAGAAGAAATAATCGCATACAATTCAACTGCCAACATTTTAAAGTTTTAAACATGCAATATCGGATTAACGACAGGACACGTACTGACAATATTGTCGATAGACGATAATATTAGAATGACAAAATATCTATTGGTAAAAACCAGTAAATATAGTATAATAAACTATAAATATAAGCAAGCATAGGTTGTCCATACCTATAATATAGATAATCGTCTTGGTAGGTCACGCACTAAACTCAGTAATACAGGTAGGTCATATACTAAATTCGATTTTCGATCAGTAGGTCAAATACTAAACGAATACCTATACAATATACTATCTAATTAATATTTATAAAAAAAAAAATATCACTGTGTGACTAGACTAATATTGATATATAATATTAAGTTTAAATATTTTTCAACTTTTAATTTTAGTAAAATATTTTACTTGTAAAACTGTTTCATAATGATGCAACGGTTCAAGCAATTCTAAAATATAATCATCTCCCAAACGACATTCAACCGCCAAAGCGCCTTGTCCGACAGCATAAAGCATAATATCTGAATCAATTATTTGGGATACACGTTTTTCCCATCCCATTCTTTGAATTCCAGCCAATGCTAAAATTATGCCACTATAATTTGTATTTGTTTTTTCATCAGTAGATTTACTGCTGTCTAATTTCTTCAATCTAGTGTTTAAATTTCCTCGCACATCAGACACTTGAAGATTAGGAAATTTCCTTTTCAACTGAGCTGTGCGTCTTAAGGAACTAGTTCCTAAAAAAATAATAAAAAAAATTAATAAGTGTTGAATGCTAAAAATAAACAGGAAGTAAATTCATTAGTTTTAACTACTTTCCCAAAAACCAAAGTTCCTGCCTATTAAAAACAGTTATTTTTTTCAATTTCTACCTTCTCAAAGATTATGGTTTAAAATCACTATGTTGAACTTCTATAATAAATACTGACTCGTTTTTCTTTATAGTAAATACATTTTTAAGTACTTTTAAAATATTATTGGATATTTGTTACTGTTATTAAGTTTTTGTTTACACCACTTCTGCTTTAAAGTTTATATGATAGTTTTATTAATGCAGTAATACTGCAAACATAAATGCATTAATTATGAATTGAACAACGCTTATACAGCACGATTAAAATTAATTAACTTGATTTTCTAAAGAATGCAAAATTTCAAGTAAAAAGATTACATAAATGGGATTTAAATTAGGGCCAAGTCCCCTCTGTGTCACCCCATTATAACCTTGGAAAATAATGGGTTTACTATTATATTTTTCCATATAATGAAATATAGATAATATATGTACAAATATCAGTAAACTTTTATGTGTTAATTTTACATAATTAAAATTTAAAATCATAAATTATTTCTGTGAAAATAATAGTTAATATTTAAACACTTTCAGCTAATCAACTGTATTGCTAAATTTAATGTTTTACTTATTACTTTTACCTCATTGATTTAACTCTGTAGTTGTATATTAGGTTTATACTAAAAAAAAAATAATAAAAAGGTTATCAATTATATTATATTATGCTTAACCTAAAGAAATAACACTTTTATTTTATAAGATAAATAAAATAATAGTTATGATTTACTGGTACTAATTAGATATTATTGAAATTAATAACTATTAAATTTAAGCAAAACTAATAAGCAATTAAGTTAAGTTATGTTTATAAATAATTTAATATAACATAGTTAATTTTTTATAAGTGACAGCAATATATTGTCTGCTATATACTTAATAATTATAAATAGTTAACAGTTAAAGAAGTGATTTAAAGTTTTATCAATTATAATAATTAATTTTTGTGTAAACATTATTTTCAATGACTTTTATTTTTATAATAGGAATTTTAAATATGTAATCACTAATCAGTATTCAAACAATAACTAATAAGCAACACTAAAAATAAAAATGTTGAGTAGGTACGTGATATGTTCAACAGGTGAAAAAAAAATTTATAGTGACATCCACTTAATATTTTAAAATACATAATGTTGTATCAGAAAATAATTTGTTAATTTGTAACAATAACATATACATTAAAAATGAATAAAAGATTACATATAGTAAAAATAAAGATGTAAGTAAACAATTGGTAAATGCAAATAATAATAATAATAATAATAATCTTTGTATAAATTAATTTTATCTTTATTATAATCTAAAATAGGGTTTATTTGTTTTGACTATGATAAAAATATGATAGCCTATGATCTACAATTTAAGTACTTTGTGATTAAACTGATTAATTAACACTTTATAAACAGCAAAACTTAATTCAATCAAATATACATTTTAAACAGTAATAAAACTTATGCAACTTTTAAAAGTTAAGTTATTAAGAATGTTATTTTAATTATTGAATTTTTTATACTTTATAAATAATACAATTACTAAACAAATTTCAGTATCAAGACAATCATATCTCAGTGTACTAAAAAGATAACTCTAGTGGATTTTAGAAATGTATATTCATTAAACACAAACTATAAAAAATAATATAAAAGTACGTACATAATTAATATTTAAATTAGTATTGATAAAAAAAAAATATACTAACTCATGGACTAAATACATAACAAAACATTATAATTTATTCATACATATATTGTAGGTATAAATATAAGAGAAACGCATGTTAACTGAATTTTAGAAATTATGATAAATATTTATAAAAATAAAACTATGCAATGGAAATATCTATTATATTATAAAATAATAAGTAATTAAAAATCCTGAATTTATTATAACTGTAACATATGGTATGTATTTCACACTCTACATATTAATTATTTGATTACTTACCAATGAAACTTTTTGAAGGTAATGAATCCAATTGATATTCTTTACAATCTTCTCGTAATACTAGAGCGTCTCTTGGATCATCTCGTTTTAATACAGCTCCAATTGTTGTTCCAATTTCCATGACAGTTGGTAAATCCTTCAATGAATGTACAATGAAATCAACAGTACCACTAAGTAAAGCAACTTCAAGATCCTTGGTGAACAAGCTTTTCTCTCCAATTTTTGGTAAAGGTTTATCCAGAACTCTATCACCCATGGTGGTCATAGAGACTATTTCAAATTCTATGTCCGGATGTAATTCTTTTAACTGGCTAATAACGAACTTGGTTTGGATCAATGCTAATTCACTTTTACGTGAACCCACACGAATTGTCTTTCGGTTGCTTCTGTCCATGATTAAATAGTTTGATGAAAATAAGGTGGATAAATTATTGTCACTGCAATAGATTTATCACAACTGAATGTATGAATAAAAAATGGCTAATACTATAACATTATGATGCCTGAAACATGAATTATATTATTCTTAAATATAAATTTACATACAATTATATCTAAAGTACTCACCATTAGTCTATTTTAATGACATTTGTTGGTGAATGGCATCAGTAAAGTAAGGCCAGCCCATTGCTTACGTAATTGAATAGAGTAATCTTAGTAGTGTTTTAGTTTTTAGAAAGGAAAAGCGAAAGGGGGAATTTTTGAAAGGTGATTACTTTATCAATGCCATCGTTATCAATGAAAAATGACAATACAGGAGATTACCATTTTTATTGGCTACACTGTGTATACATATTCTACCATGGTTTAGTCATGTGATCAATATTTTGGAAAGTGTAAAACAATAACACAAGTCGTCAAAAAAAAAAAAACATTTTGCTTTAGCTTTTAGGTACTATATATTTTTTAATTTTTTGCATCATGAATGAAACGAAATCTACTTCAAATTTGCAGGAATTTTATTAATGAACCGCTGTTGATGCGGTCAGACAAGTAAAATTAACATTTAAAAAAATATCTGAGGTTGTAAACAAAGTGTAACAAAATGCCGTCAGAATCTAAGATTCCTGCCCAAATGGAGAAACCAAATCATTATTCGTAAGACGTGATTTTGTGCATGATTTTCTGTTATTTATTTAGTCGTCCATTAATTGTTCATACATTATGATACAGATTTAGTAAATAGTATTGTTTGATATCAGTCGAACTTATTGTATTATTGCAGATATTTAAAAGAGTTTCGTGTTGAGCAGTGTCCATTGTTTTTACAACATAAATGTACACAACATAGACCTTATACTTGTTTTAATTGGCATTTTATGAATCAGCGCCGTCGTAGACCAGTTAGAAAAAGAGATGGCACTTATAACTATAGTGCAGATGATTATTGTTCACATTATGATGAGACAACTGGAGTTTGTACTAAAGGAGACGAGTAAGCAATGTCTTATTGCATGTAATTATGTATTTGTCCTTTTTAATGTAAAGTTGATATTGAATCTCAATTTTTGTAGTTTTTAAACCAGTGGTGTGTTACAAAAACTTTCTTTTTTTCATGTAAAGAGGGAAATGCTAGTATTATTTAACCCTGATAAAATCTTCTAATGTTTTTGTGTTTTTTTTTTTTTTGAAAAAAATAATTAATTTATGAATTTATATTGTGTATTTAAATTAAAATTTGATAGATGTTTTTATCAACTTAAATAATTTATATATTCAGTAGGGACTATTTACCAAATTATATAATATGCAATTTACTTCATAGGTATATTTTTTAGTTTTACTTCAGAAAATGTATGAGACATATACCTGCAAATTGTGCTTTCCTTGAATTTATTTTAATAAATTCTATAAATATTTTGAAATTTATAAATTTATTCATTCATTTTTCATATAACCTATATAAAGTTATAAATATTTAGTATGGATATTGCTAGTTCTCTTTATTTTATTTAATAAATTTAAAATGAAAATTACTCATAAACAGTAGAAATTTTACATTTTCATTTAAAAATGTATTCAATAATTAAATTAATTGTATTAGGTACCTATTTGATTAATTCATTTTTCAGAAGTTTGATAATTACATACATATTGATTATTTTTTATCTACTAAAATTTTTAATTTAATACATTGTACTCGAGGTTCTCAGTATTTAATTATAATTACAATTATCCTTTTAATTTATTTGCTGTATGTCATGTTTGTATTTCTATGCTGAAAAATTGGGATAAAAAACATATATAAATATACATGAAAATATTGATGTAAGTGCAATTTTTTTGTACTTATGAAATAACACTTACATGACTTGAACAAAAAAGAACAATTTAATAATATTGTTGACCAAGTTTTAGTACATATTTTAATAACAAGGTGCATGACACCAAATTGTTTTAATTTATAATTCAGCATTTGTAAACTATTTTAAATGACATTAATATTAGCATTGTGCTGTCTAAATACATTAAAAATATTAAGATGCACATTATTTTAAGATATACTTTCAATGAATTGTCATGTTCATTAAAATAGTAAAAATAATAACCTAATTATCTTTTACTAAATAATATTACCTTTTGGATCAAACTTTATTAAGTTTTTATTTATTTGTATTTTAAGGTATTAATTTCATTTTTATTATAAATTATTGTAATCTTTTTTATTCTGCATACAGTTTTTTTTTTTTTTTATGACAAGCCATTAAAAGTTTAATTCATATATTCTTATTATTGATTTGAGAATTATGGAAAAGACTACACAAATAATCTTATATATTAGTATTACTATTGGAAAACATGGACAATTTTTTATTTTATTTAATAAGGATTCTTTTATTTCAATGTATGTAGAATTATTTATGTCAATATTGTTAAATGGTTTAAATGTTTTGTCTTTAAATTGAGTGTGAGTATAATGTATTATTTTTAATTGATTTAATACTTTTTAACTTCCTCAAAATATTAACTAATCTCTACATTTATATTAAGAATTTCTTTCAACTATAATCATTAAAATGTGCTTGAATAAACAAGAGAAGAAAAATTACTAAAAAAATATTCAGCATGATCCTTCCTTTATTTAACATACATGATCCATGTAGCATATACAAAATATTATCTTACCCAATTATCAGATTTTTATATTTTTTATTTTTTATTGAAAAAAGGTGCACATTTTTACATCGAACAGCTGGTGATACAGAAAGACGTTACCATTTGAGATATTATAAGACATGTATGTGTGTTCATGATACTGACAGTAGGGGATTTTGCACAAAAAATGGGCCGCATTGTGCTTTTGCACATGGGAATCATGATTTAAGACCACCTGTATATGATATTACTGATCAAAAGGTATTTAATTCATTTGAGTGTTTAGTATTTTTAATAATGAATTTTATAACTTTTATTAGGCATCTGAAAATGATGATGATAATAATGTAGATTTAGATGGACCAAATGTATTAGATAAAGAAAAAAATTTAATGAATGAAGATCCTAAATGGCAGGGTAGGATTTGTACATAATTTGATTTTAATTATTTATATACAATTTTTACTATTCAGTATTTATAAAGTATATTTTTAATTCATAGACACTAATTTTGTTCTATCAAATTATAAAACTGACCAATGTCAACGTCCTCCTAGACTTTGTCGTCAAGGATATGCGTGTCCTCAATATCATAATAGTAGAGATAAAAGAAGAAATCCAAGAAAATACAAGTACAGGCATGTTTTTATTATTGTAATAAATATTCATTGTTTAAAACTGCTAGTAATAATTTTAATTAAATATTTTAGATCTACTCCATGTCCTAGCGTAAAACATGGAGATGAATGGGGTGAACCAAGTAATTGTGAAAGTGGTGATTCCTGTGCGTATTGCCATACTAGAACTGAACAACAATTTCATCCAGAAATATATAAATCTACAAAATGTAATGATGTACAGCAAGCTGGTTATTGTCCTCGTGGAGTATTTTGTGCTTTTGCGCACGTGGATCGTATGTTTTTACAATTTAGTATTACAATTGTTATGTTAATTTTACTTAAAGTAATAATCAACTTTATTATGTAGAGGAAATGATTATTGCTCGTGAATCAGCTGCTGGATTAGATTCTTCAACAGATTTAGCTGATATATTATCTAATGCTGTGCCTTCATTAGGGACCGAATGTTTAAGATCTCCGGTAAAAAAAATAGATAATGACAAAAATAGTTCATCGGTTAGTAATTTTTAAATATTTAAACACTCGCTCATATTGAACGATGTGTTATGTTTATAGAATGGAAGTGGAGATTTATCAGAATGCGCTTCAAGTATTGGTTCTCCTAATAAAGCTCCTGGTGCTCATTTGTCTAGATCTGAATTTAATGTACAACAATTTCAAATAGCTCATGAAGATACCATACAAGCTGTAATTATTTATTTTTATTTATTTAATATCATTTGCTATGTATTTATTATTTTTTAGCTTTTAAATTCATTTGATTCTCAATCATTGTTACCTAATGTTGAACCACAAAGAAGACATAGTTCTATATTTGGACCTGTTGTATCTAATGGTAATAGTAATTCATCATATATGAATCATTTTTCTTCTTATCAGTCTACTAATACTATGAATGGTATGTTTACAAAAATTATTTAGTTGTAATGTATTAATTAAATGTTTATATATGTAATAGTATTATTATTTTATTTTTTTAGGTAATTTAGATGATTTAGTTGTGGAAGATAATTTAAATTTTTCCGTTGATCGAGAAAATGAATCTCCAATATTAAATAATCCTTTATCATCAAGTTTACAAGCCTCTGGTACATTAAATTTATTATATACTTTTCAACTTTATAAATTCAATTAATTTGTATTTTTTTTCTGATATATGTATGTATGAATATTTCTAGATATTTTAGGAAGCTCAGCTCCAGTTAATATTCCTCTTACACGCCATAATAGTATTGGTCATTTTTCTCCAACAATAGCTTCTCCATTAAAACATATGCAAAATAATATCATACAAAAATCTAGGTATAACCAACAAGATGGTTTAGGTCATTTGAATATTGTTACTGGCAACAATTATGGCTCAACTGGTTTGTTTGGTATTGGCTCTCCTGGAGCTGCAAACACATTTCCAATTAGTCCTTCAAATTCAAATGAAGTAATGATATTTTTTGTTGTATAACCTTTTGGCTTGAGTCTTTTTTTCTGTTAAATGTTTCACGATATTTTATCTTTTTATATATTTTATATAAATATTAAACTTTTTATACTGTTAACAACTGTCAGATTTTTTTGGATATAATGTTTTGTATTTTAATTTGTAATTAATTACAAATTAATAAATACATTTTATGAAGAAGTTATAATATTTTATTCCAATAATAATAATACTTTTTTTTTTAAAATTATTTATTATTTAATAACTTTAAAATGGATTAATTCACTCAAATGAAAATGTTCCGTGTTAACTTTTAATAGTATAAAATTTTTTTTCTTCAGTTATGTAATTTAAAATAAAAATGTCAAAATTATTAAACTACAATCTTATATCAATACATTTAAGAAATTTTTCTTTTAATTTAAATAGTTATAACTACATATAAAATATATTTTTAAAATCCGGTAAAAAAGACAAAAGTTAACTTTTTATAATAATGACACAATAGGGTTAAAATATAATATTGATTGACATTTTTTTATTTTTAGGTTCAAAGATTACAAGAAGAATTATTAAATTGTAGATCAAAATTAGTGTCTTGGGAATCTGAACGAATGTCACAAGTTAGATGCACTTATGAAGCATGGCAAAGAGAGACTGAAGATTCAAATAATAAATTAAAAATTGCAGAACAACAAAGAGATGAAGTGAATATTTTTAAGTAGTATAAAAGTTATTTTTGGATGTTAACTTTAATTTTTTATTAGGCTATTAATCAAGCAAAATCGTTACAAAAAGAAGTAGATTTATTACAAGGTTCACCGTATCTTCATGGATTACGTAGGGTCTCAGAAATTAGGAATTTATCATTATCTGTATTAAAGTCATTACAGAGTCAAATGAGAAATGATTTAGAAGAAATCGAAAAGGTGAATATTAAATGTTTAAAATCGTATGAACATAATATTAAATATTTGAGTTAAAATTAATATTAAATATTTATTAAAATAAACTCTTAAACTAGTATTAACTAACTATGATATGTATATTCTTTGTATCTAACACTTATATTATATTATTTTATTTAATAAATAATAACTTTTGTTTGGTTTAGGTTTTATACTTACAAACTGCTACCAAATGCATGTTATGCGAGGAGCGTAATAGGAGTGTCACATTGGGACCTTGTAATCACTTTGTGTTGTGTAATCAGTGTGTGGATACGATAAAAGATTGTCCATATTGCTCGACCCCTATCTTATCTCATACTAATACATCAACAACTCAGGCATAGATTAAAAATTATTTATTTTAAGCAATCAAAAACTTAATAATTATGATAGTACTAATAATAATTGATTAAAATAACATAAAATTTAGAAAGAAAAAAAATCATAACTAATCAGTACTAGATGTATTAAGTATTATAATTTTAATACTCTATTAATTTATATATTAGCATTTTACAACATTAGTATGAGCCTTTTATATAGAATTTATATTTGATTTTTTTTTTTCAAATCATATTTATAAATATTTTTTTTTTTTACTACAATATTTTACATTTAATATGTATTTATTAAATTTCTATAGTTTCAAAATAATGTTTTAATTTAAACATTAATACTAATATAATAATAGTATAACTTAAATGAAAATTTATTAAAAATATGAAATAAGTTTGTATTGTGTAACAAACATATAAAAGTTTCAATTAAAAAATGTTTATTTATAGACTTGAACTAATAGCATATAATAATTTTTCTGAATAAAAAATTTTTGAAATATTAAATTTATATCTATATGCTTAGGTAAATGCTAACTTTGTAATTGCTAACATATAATTAAATTGTTTAATATCTTTTGAGTCAAATATTTTGCTTATATTCTTGATCGTTGACATAAAAATTATTTTACAATATTAACTTTTTATTGAAACCAGAATAAATATTCTAGTAAATTAGGTTTTCTAACTTATTTTACATATAAATTAAATTTCATAATTCATGTAGTTAAACTAATAAAACAACTTTTTTTCATTTAGATTAAACCATCTCCATTTTGCTTAGATTTTAAATAAAAATCAAATGAGAATAATTATTTTACAATGTTTGAAAGTTAAATAGAAAAATTATATATTTTCTTATTAGCTAAAATATTTTTTCTAAACAACAAATATTATTTAATATTAAGGTTTTATGTTAATCGATACAAAAATTTTCCCACCATATTATGACACAATTATCATTTAAACTCGTTGCTTAAAATAATTTTTAAAATCTATAATTAATGATGTAAACCTAATAAATTTTTATTTAGAACTAGTAAAGAATCGTTTCTATTAACAATAGAAATTATTATATTACCTATTTATTAAATATGAGTGAATTTGAACAATCATGAACTATATATTTTTATTTTGACATTTAAAACAAATTTTAAAAAGTATTCAAAAAAAAAAAAAAATTTATATGAAGATCATTTTTACAAATTTTATTTATTTTACTAGATCTTTATAGTTGAAAAAAATTTTGTATATGCTATATTGATGAGCATTGGTTTTATTTTAAATTATTTTATTGTTTTATATATTTTTGAATGTGATAGTTATTTATCAGACTTTGAAAATAATTTATATTCTCATAAAAACATCTATTAAGTAAAATTGAGAGATTTTAGGCCCTTTTGATTTTACCAAATCTTATTGATTATACTCTTTTATTATTATTTATTGCCTATATTTATTTAAATTATTTCTGTGGTAATTATATTTAATTCCTATTTATGTCATAATATATTATTTTTTTTAACTTTAAGATTAAATATCATGGTTTTGTAGTGTTAAGCTGTAGTCTGATGTGTTTTACATTTTCATAAATTCTGTATTTTTTTTTTGTTTGTTTTTTTACTAGGCCTACCAAATAATTGTGTGTTTTAGCGTGAACTTGTTGGTTTAAAAGGCCAAATTAAAAATGAATAAATCACATTTTTTCACAATTGTCTAAATTGTATTGATTCATGAATTATTTATATTCAAACATTCTTAAATATATTTTGAAATTATAATGAATAATAACATATTATTAAAAAACAGTTATTGGCTTACAAATTAATATCCTCTTAATTATAGCTTCTCACGGCATGTTAAATAACTAAATAATGAGAAGAGAAGTATGTAATATTAATTTTATTGTGAACCATCATTTTATTATTACATGATTATTTTGTTGTAATAAAATATCAGTATTATATTTTAAATTTAATTATGTTTCGTGTATACATCCAAATAGACTCGATAACTGTGAACGTATTAATATTTTGTATAATTTAAAGTTATTTTTGTGAGAGTTTTGAGTGTTTATTTAATTTGTACCTGAATGTTTAATTTAAGATCTAATGATTTTTACACAAGTACTTGTAGTTGTGACTATACAAAATAATCAGAAATCCTGTTGTTGACTCATGTTATGTTTGTCATATAAAATCCTAAAATGAAAATCTTAATAGATGTACTGCAGTCTGCATACTTAACAAAATTTTAATGTTTTATAAACTATTATTTGTGTAAATTGTCTCATTAATAGTAGTTGTAAATTATTTAGACGCCATCCTTATTAGTCATTACATATTATGTTTTAAATTGTAAATCAATAAGTCTACTGTTTAAGAATGTTTTGAACAAATATTTTAATTATAATTATTCCATATCTACCATAATACATTTATGACATAAGTATTATAACCTAAATTCTTATATTTTTCTCTATTTCTGTTCAAAATTATTTACTTATTTATTTTTTTTTTTTGTACGTAACAATGTCATGTTTTTACAAAATATAGTACTTTACTATCATACAAACACTGTGTTTCAAAAATAAACTTATTTTTCTTTAAAATAACCATACCGTTGTTTAAAGTTTTCAAATTATAAATGACAAAGATCTAACCATCAAGAAACTAATCCAGTCAGTAGGTATATAACAACAGAAGAGAATACTTGTTTAAATGGTTTAAATTTATCAGAATTCAAAATAAGTTTTTATTATTGAACCTAGGCTCATTTTATATTTTCTGCTATTATTCTATGCAGGTTATAAGTGCATATTATATTTAATCATCCTATAATAAATTTATAAAGAAATAGTAACTTGTTATCTTAAGTTACAAGAAGTTTTATGTTACACTGTAGTACCTATATAGTATTATACTCATTGTGACCATTGAGAGAGTTTGACAGTTAGATTATAATTAACAAATAACACATAAACTTACAGAACGTATGTACTAACGTCATACATTTGTCTAAATTTTGTCTGCGTTTTCTGCTACTTAAAGTTTATTTACACTCGATCGTCACCGTTTATTGGACTCGCTTTGGTAATAATGGTACTAGAGTTTTTAGGTCCATTAAACGAATGAGCCAATAAGGCAAAAGATCTTGGAATAAAAACATTTGCATATGTAATACGTTTAACAAACTAAATTTAAATATGTAGTGATTCCAATAGATGAATGTTTTTCTATACGTGAATATTAACGAGACCAGCCTATTAGAGTTCATTGTGCTATTGAGTGCATTAATCGTGAATAAAATTTAAATGGCGACTACTGTAACTAATTGTATACTAAATATTAAGTGACAGGTGTTCTAGTTTTTAATAGCTGACTTAAATAAGTTAATGTCCAAGCACTCAGCCAATTTTCAAGAAACCAATACGTTAGTATGCCAACACCCAGCAATCTTAGTATCACCTTTGTCGGGTTTCTATTAAAACTGTCTTGGTCTCAGGTTCAGGTAAAAACTATAGTTAACTTTAAATTTAGGTGGTGTATCAGTTATAAATTATCTTTTTATTGTATTTAATGGATATTTTTTAAATCCTAAACTTGGCATTGTGAATTATTACAAGTGATATAATAGGTAGTGAACAGATGTATGATGTATATCTCAACTAGTCACTAGGTAAATAGCCCACTGTCTAGTAACTATCTTCGTGGTAATCCTCGTTGGTATCTATGCATTATGCATGTTCGTTGTTTGTTCTTCTATTGGCTTTTAGCTTTGTTATAGGTAGAGTATACATCTCTTTCTAGTGCTACTCCCCACCTTTATATACCCTTCCTTAGTTCTTTTGAATATTTGCTCCAACTACATCTAGGTGACTGGTATCTATCCTAATTATGATAGATACATCTTTGTATTTTGTAGATAGGTACTATATTGACTAAAGATTACTAAACTAATGAGAACCTTTAGAAGTTATAATATTTTGGAAGTCTCTTCACTTTGGGCTTATGATAATACTGGACTAAAATATTGTTTTTCTTCAACAGCAATTAGCCTACAATCGAGGCGCTATTGAGGGGGGGCAGAATGTATGTTGGCACACCTATTCTTTATTTGCCTTTTACTGGCAGTAAGTTACTGTCATACAATTTACAATTTACAAACTAGCTGATGGCTACAGATACATAAAAGTTCAAATAGGTACCTTAGGAAAACCATAATGCACACATAGTACCTATACAATATGCGTGGAGGTAATGTTTATTTATTATTAATGGAAGAACCAAGACTGTACCCATAATTAATTTTCGATGGAGGGGAAGGGAGTGTTAACAAATTTTAGTAAGTGATGTAAAAATAACAAACAATTTATAAATGCTTAAAAGCAATTAAACATAATATATATTTTAAGTACCCATATATAAATGAATAAGGTTTGTTAATAAATTCTTTATAATGTATTGTGTAGGTTAAATTAAGTGTAACCCGAGTGTAGGTAGGTATTGATAAATGATCTAAGAGTACTTATGATTTTCGAAAATTTGTAAATAATAATCGTTTTAATAATAATACAATGTTATTAATTATTATCATTATTCCTAACTATTTGTACAGCAATGATGTATAAAAAAAATTAAGATTCATAATTCATATTCTATTTTGAAAATATGTTAAATTGTAAAAAAAATTACAAATAATATTTCAATCTTTTTAACATGCAAAATGTATTTAATTAGATAATATGTTAATCAATAATATGACATATTTAAGTTCGTTGGTTCTCGGTTAAATAAATTATGGATGCTGATATGGGTTATTTTCATATTTGTGATTTTTGTTAGTAAATAATAACTAAAAAAAATCTGTTTAGCAGAGCGTGGTTTCGATCCACGGACCTCTGGGTTATGGGCCCAGCACGCTTCCACTGCGCCACTCTGCTAGTTATAGTAGGGGTAATAAATAATTATATTTAAGTCATTTTACTATATTTGCTAATTTTATCAATTGACTTAGTTTCAAACATTCATTGATTATATTTTATAATCAATGGTATTAAAAAATCAAAATAATAGGTAGCGAAATTTTACGTTGCTTATTTTTACATATTTCGAAATTTAAATGTTATTTTACTTTTTTTGAGTCTATTTCACTAAAGAAGTCTTTAAAACATTTTTTCTTAATAATCCTGAATATTAATTTCACATTATTATCATTATATAGGGACCTATCACAATTAATAAATCATATTTACCTACTCTTATTAGGACCGGTATGGGAGCTAGGCGAAAGCTTTGCGACCAGCTCCCTGCATGATAAAAGCCGCTAATACATTGAAAGTTTTTTATTTAAAAAAAAGTTCATAATTCATATATATTACGTGTACGGCCAGGACCGGATTAAGAGTTTACCCGGCCTGGAGCCTAGTATTCCAAAGGGCCCTTAGTCCTTACAATATTTATCACTAATAACTGAATTTTATTTATTTAAAAAAATGATACAAGGTAAATTGCACAGAAATATCTTTAAAATTTTTTAATATTTGTAAATTTTCATTAAGTACATGCTATTATACAATATTATTCATTAAATGTCAAAATATAAAAACATAAAAATTAAAGTATATTATATTATATTGTATTTTAAAACTAACTTTACTATCTTATTTTCTCTTCTTTTTTTGAAACTCCACAATAATTTCGTTTGTATTAATAAATCTGTTTATCTGTTAATAAATGTTTGCATATCGAAAATGATCGTTCACAATCAACTGAAGTTATTGGGATGAATGTGAATTTAAAAAAGCTTAAATTCATTAGGTCTTGATATTAGGTCTGATTAAATTTTATAATATTTCTTAGGTACACATAGGATACCTACATGAGATAATAATAATTTTTTTAATAGCCAATAGCCTTACCTTATTTAGCAATATTTTCATACTTTCTTCTTTCTATTTTTTAAGCTTTTGCTTAGCGGCTCATAAAATAACTAGCATATTTTTGAGACATTGTAAGTAATATTATATTGTAATCAGTAATCACTAAATAAGTCAACTGTTGGGATTAAATCATGAAGACCAAATGATGATCGACGACAGACGCTCGTACGTTTCTAGCAAAAACAATCTAGATTAACTATAAATAAATCAAAACCAAATCTATCAATAAAAAAATATTGTCGAAAATAAGATAAGTAACGTAATGTTCTAGTTGATGCATCGAATGCAAACAATTATTTCAATCCGATATTATCACTCCGCCCGTTTGCGGATGGCATTCAGTACATGACGTAATAAAAAAAATACAATTAAATTACGAAAATTAAAAAAAATGTGTAACCAAAATAAAATTTGAACTTAAAATATTTTAAATTTGGTTTCAGATAAATATTTTAGGGCCTGGAGCTCGGGCTTCTAGGCTCCGTGCTTAATCCGGCCCTGTGTACGGCTCGTATAGATTCCACTAAATCAGAGAGAAAGTATGAGACAAAATGTCGACAAACTTATTTTTATGTTAAAAAGATACTCAACAAGCGCCAAACCGAGTTCAACTGTTTAAAAATGAAGCCATCCGGAAATGAAAAAATTAAATACCACCAGAATCTATAATTATTTCATGTTGGAGTACGTGAATTATCGTCTTAAATTACAACTATGAAAACATTGAAATCGTTAAGTACCAATAATTCTTAAAAAATTAGACAATGATAGTGTTAGTATCATAGATATTTATCTACTAAAAAATATTTCCCAAATTAGTATTGAAAGAGATACGACTTACACAAAATACAATTTTAATTACCTATTTCTATTACAAAGCTACAAGAACAAGGACTGCCTTCAATTATCTAAAGCTGTAATATTATATTTTTGAAAATGTTGAAAATGCATTTGAAATTCTTTAGTCTTGAAATTGAAAAAGCTATTTTGAAATTAAACGATTCAAATATTTTGGTCTTAACATTTCAAAAATATTACATAAGTGCTATTGAGTAATAACACTAATAACTAATAATAATAACATAACTTACATAACTTTAACATGGACTTCCTGAAGATTTTTCAACATACTTATCGTCTTGTGTACTTTAAGTTGGCATTTATTATGTCGATTGGTTGTTCTTATGTACAAGGCTCTACTCCAGCGTTTCCCAACCTTTTTTCCTCGCGGTATACTAATCCTAAATCCCTAACCCACATTGAGCCGTGGCATACTAATTTTCACTGACTTAAATAAACATTATAATCAATTACTGAAATTGTACATAAACACTTATTAAGAATTGTGAAATTTTGCGGCACACCTATAAAGGCTTCCCGGCACACCAGTGTGTCGCGGTCCACACCGAGCACACTGGTTGGGAAACACTGCTCTACTCAATAACAATAGCAGATCAATCACACTGAAAACTTGTAGATATAAACATTTCATAAATCAACAAAACTTTCAAGATAAATAAATGTTAATGAAAAAATTCTTAATTTTGAATACAATATTTTTTCAACAGAACAAATGATTACCATAACATATTAAATAAATCTAATGTATCTAATATTAATTATTATTCAACTTATTTTTAAATAGTAAAATTTTCAACATTTTTTTTAGTTTTTGTGTTTTTACATACTTTAGAAGTCTCCTTTTATCATTAAAACGGTTTAAGACTTAGAAAAAGTTAGTTTTGTATTCATTCTTTACGATGCTTCGAACTACAAGTCTATGAAACTCATCCCAATTATCTATTATATACCTCGGAAATAATTTACGGTCAAATCGTTAAAGTTTTAAATAAAAATGCTTTAAGTAATAAAATTATAAGTTACTCTGCAAATAATACAATCACACATTTTGAAGGTATGTTGAAAAAAGGTAAAAATAACATATTTTTTAAATTATAACAAACATTAAATAAAAATAATTTAGGAATGGGATGTTGTTTACATATTATACAGTCGATTCCCAATAATTCAAAACTTTTGATAATTCGAAGTAAATGTATGTTTTCTTGAAAAAACCCAGAGGCGGATTTATCTTTTTTTATGGCTATAAGCACCAACAATTTGCCGCCTCTATAATAGGTGAACAACTAAACAAGTTATCACAACCGTATATCATATACGATATAGAAAAATATGAAATATAAAATTAATACGCACATTATTAATTATTTTTCGTAAATGTAAAGTTTTTCATTTTTTTTTTTTTATAAGCTTAATGTTTTTTAATAAAACACTATAAAATTTGCCACCCCCTTCAAATTTTGCCGCCCTAGGCAGCTGCCTACAGTGGCAATGGGAAATCCGCCTCTGTAAAAACCATTCATTTAAGTATACTCGGTAACTCGAAATTAAATTTTGGGAAAACTTGCCACACTAATAGGTGACAATTTAAAGTTTTATCTATTCAATGTTCAGTAATAACGTTTCGATATTTTTGGTACTTTTTTAATTTTATTTTAGATTTTGCGCAAAGCGATGAATGCATTGATTTAACAATGATATGTTTTTCTTGTAGATAAGTACACTATAAGTTGTTTATTTTCAAAAATGAAGAAGGTTTTAGTTATTAAATTGGTTCTAGTTTGTACTTTAGAGAGGTCAAACCTAAAAATTCTTAATATTTATCTTTATATTCACGAAAAACAAATAAAAAAATTAATGTGTCAAATAAGTTAATGTGTTTCACGGTATTAAGGTGAAAAATAGCGGGGGCCATTAAAATAAAAAAGTGCAAGACCCAAAATATATCATCTATCAAGTCCAATTTGTTCTTGTTTAAAGGTGACACTTTTTGTATAGTAGAATAAATGCACTCTAAATGGAACCTAAGTAAAGTGTATTATTGAATCGTATCATTCTTAGTATGCCACATAGATTTTTAATAGATTTTTTAATTTTTTAGTTTTTATATCAATGTTTATTCTTTCAGTAAGTTCTAATGTTCTAAATAGTTCCAGTATTTTGGTGGCGAACCGGAACAATAACTTTTCGGGTAGATAGCGGCTGTGGTCCTGATTATCGATCTATCACAATCGATTGGTTAGCTCTACTATCATTTTCTCCCACTGTTCTCCGTACTATTGTTTATCAACATAAGTTTGAAATTCGATAACAGGGAACCCGGTAAAAATAAATCAATACGATATTATGATGGAAGAATTAGGGGTGTCTGTCGTAAATCATTGCAATTCGTCGACGATCAATTTGCCCGATTGACTTGCTGCTGTACATATACGGAACATGTCTTGACTGCCATCCATCACTATGCTGCCCGAGGTGGACGGTATTGACCAGTTGTACAGACGATTTTTCCAGGAAGCCCAAGAATTACCTAAGTAAGTTCTCTGACTTGGTCACAACAACAATTCTATGCCGTTTGTTTTTTGATTATTATATATCCACGATTTATTTAGGAAACAACATGCCAAAAAAAATTATCAGAAAGCTCAAAAAGGGTCAAAACTGTACAAGGTAAGACTTATAGTGTTATTATTGGTTTATTATTATTATTATTATTATCATGATTGTTATATAGTATTTAATTGTGCAATTATGATTTGTTTTGTTTTCCTAGGATGGCGGCTGGACCATGTATGTATCTGGGAATGCTTCTTCCTTTGCAGTACTATCAGCTGCTCGATATGCCGTGTTTGATAGACATGCTAAAAAAGCTGACGATGCATACTGGCACTCATCATCAGCTCCAATATGTCTCAAAGTTCTCAACCGAGTGCTACAATCTTCCAACAATGTTCAGGCTAATTCATGTCCAGAAATTTTCATCCCTAAGGTTTGTTAATGACATTTTTAGGGAAATATATCTCAAAACTTTTTGTTATTGTTATTTTTAGGTAGTTGGCATTGGCTTACGTAGTGTATTTGAATTGATTAAAGAGAGTAGAGTTCCTTCACCAGAAATATGTACTAAAGCTTTGATGGCTTTGTTAGATATCATTCAGTATCAATCACCTGAAGCTTTAAAAGATGAACCATCAGAAGTTATTGGTAAGTTTATACTGATTTAGAAATTAAATTAAATGTATATGTTTTTATTTTTTTAATCATACATTTTTATGAATTGTATAGATCCATTATATGAACTATTATTGGATATGGCAACTGGAAATTATGAAAATGGGACTTATGATTTTAAAGCAGTTTCGTGTTCTTGTCTTATAAGTTTAGTAATAGTTAGAGGAGATACTGGTAAAATACTAAACACTTTAACAACATTAATCATGTGCCCAAATAATGCATCCCCTAGAAAAATAATTGTAAGTAGATTTTTAATTTTGTATATACTTCTATATTGACACTGACTTATTAATATGTTTTTCTTTAGTTACCAAAAGTTTTAACTAGTCTGCAAAAATGTGTTCGTGTTCTTACATATGGGGATTATGAAACTCCTGATTGGATGTCTTATGGAGTTCCCAAATCATCTGAAATTATAACATTAAATTTAAATTATTTACAGAGTACTTATAACTTATCTATATTTTAGTATTAATGAATTACAAAGTTCAGTTTTCATTTTTTTTTTTTTTCAGATGTCAAAGGAATGGCATGTGATGGAGACTATTTGTATACATTTTCAGAGTATGGGTTTCATAAAATTGGTACTGGTTTTGGTGGTACAGTTAGTGGACATCCATATGTAAATGTAGCTCGTACATCAAGTCATACTTTACATTCTAGTGATGTTTGTCTTGGATTTTATCAAGTTAGTTATACCTACAATATGCTTATTTATTTATATCAATACAATTTTATTTTTTTTTTGTCTGTTTCTAGAAAATGTTATATTTAAGGATTAATTATGCAAACCAGACTAGCAATCAAGAAATTGAGTTTTTAGATAGAGATACATTTAAAAAGTTAGGACGAGTTCAAATAGATACTTCAATTACATTGAATACATCTTGTAAACCTGTATTTAGTGATAAAGATAGATTATGTTTCCTTGATCAATCTGCAGTAAGTATTTTACTAATTTATAATACCTAAACATTATTAACCTTTTTTCCTCTCGAATAGAACAATTACGTGATTAAGAGTATTGATCCTAGTACTGGAAAACTTGTTAATGAAGTTCCTCTTGTATTAAGCCGTCGCAATGTACGGATTTATGGTGTTTCTGAACTATGGGATTCTATTACAGCTGAAAGTGCTATTAACAGTGCTACTGATGAAGAAGTATCTTCTGTTGCCACTTTAAAAGATTGTTTTATCATATCAGTTAAGTCTGGAAAAGTAAGTACCACAATTATAAATAAGAAATATTATATATATTATTATATATATATATTTGTTCTATATTTAAAAAAAATTATTTATCAGGCATTTCAATGGTTAAAATCTAATGGACAAAGTAGTTTAAATTGTTATCGTTCTGTATGGTCAGAGTTAAGCTTACCTAATCCATGTAAAATCATAAAAGTTGCTGCTGGTCATGATGGATTACACTGTGTGTTGCTTTGCGATACGGGATCAGCTTATTTCTTAGGAGTATCACGGCGTGGTGAAGATTGTGATAATGGAAGGTATAGAAAGCAACCTAGAGTACTGAAGCCAAAAAGGATAACTAAATTAGATGGACAATTTATTGTGGATGTAGCTTGTAATAATGGTACAACTGCATTAGTAACTAAAGATGGTCTTTTGTATATGTTTGGAAAAGATGATACTTATTGTGATATACATACTGGTAAATATTTATTTTCATAATTTAAATACTCTTATTAAATTCTATTTTTTGCAGGTTTGGTAAAAGATTTAAAAAATGCTAAAATTGTTCAGATAGCTTTAGGAAAAGCACATGCAATTGCGTTGAGTGCTAAAGGACACATTTATAGTTTTGGAATTAATAACAAAGGCCAATGTGGACGTGATATATGTGCTCCTCAAATCAATAAAAACAGTTAAATATTATTTTCTATCTTTATTAACCTTTATAATGACATCAATATGTTGTTATAGATTATCCCGAAATCACCAATAATGAATCATTAAGCCAAATTAATTCTGTTGATGAACAAAGTGTATTTGATGATGACTGTGATGATAATAAACCTTGTGAAGATATTTGTAAACCAGGGAAACATAACTGGAAACATGAAGTATGCATGGTGTGTACTGTATGTGGTGAATGTACAGGGTATAGCTATAGTTGTCTTAGTAGCATACGATCCAATCGTAAATCTGGCCAGTAAGTTAACTTTAAAATCAATTAATTTAGAGAGTTTAGAAATAAATTAGTGCTTTTGAATCTCATGATTCATTTGTCACTATGAAATTTATTTACAAAGAATTTTCATGTATTCTATGCTACATATTACATTATTATAATTTATATTTTCAAATTTTTTTTTTCATGTTATTAGAAGTTATTGCTTTAATTTCAATTAAATAGTGTGTAGTAGAATAGAAATAGTTTGACATTTTTTTTTCTACTTTATAAAAAATTGAATACATTCTTTCAATTTGTATATGACATATAAGTTAAAATTCTTTGAATAAAAATATTATAACCATAGTTTTTAATTTTAACTAAATCATTTTTTTGTCATATTTAATCAATCTTATAGGTATTTAATTTAATTTTCAAATTGTTTTTAGGGAATGTGGTTGTGGTGAAGGAGATGCTGGATGCACTATTTGTGGATGTTGTCGTATTTGTGCTCGAGAAGTTGAAGATAATTCAGAATTAGCTTTACTTGGACCAAATGGTGCTGGTGATATAGCAGGAATGATGAGACTTGATGTGATTTTTGGTGTTGGAGGTATAAAAGATTTAATGTTACTTCTTGATTAATAAATAATATTTTTTGTTATTAATTTATACTATTAAAGATAAAGCAAAAATGTCACAAGAAGCAAGACTTGAAGATCATATAAAAAAGCGATTTTGTAAACGTGATCAACGAAAAAAACTGAATTTAGTTCAAGTAGATTCTTCTATGGATGCAGATATTGATAGTAGTATACAAATAGCTAATAATACAAACATACATTTTCAAACTCAAAACAATATAATAACTCGAAGTTTTGTTGGTATATACTTAAATATATCTTAAATATTTAGATTTTTAAAACATAATTTAAATATTTCAATGGATTCATACATTTTTAATTCATTAGATGATGCAGTTAATAATCCGGGAAGCGATATAGAAAGGGATACTGCTAGAATGACCATTTTACCACCTGCGCGAGTATTTTTACCAATAGACTGCCCAGTTATTCAAATTAGTTGTGGTTTACATCATACAGGTAATATGTTATAATAAAATGTTATGTATTAATTTAAATTAATTTATTCATACATATACATATATTTTATATTTATTATAATTTCTATGTATGTTTTTATAGTATTACTTTTAAGTAATGGGAAAGTAATAACATTTGGTAGTAACTCAAATGGCCAACTGGGATGTAGTCTGTCACTCAGTAGAAAAGGTCCAACTGTATTAAAAATACCGCGCTTAAAACATCCTGTTATCAGTGTGTCAGCTGGTAGCAATCATACTGCATTGGTATCGAAAGATGGTAAACTCTATACTTTTGGCAGTTATTTGGTAAACAATTAATATTAAATTTATTTGTATAACTTGTTGTTAATTATAATTGTTTCAATGTAATACAGAAAAGTCAACTTGGTCGTGATAGTGGATGCAATCATGTACCATTGAGTGTAGAAGATATAAATCCGCCTCATACCAGAAGAGCGAGAGTAGTTATGTGTTGTGGTAATCAAACAATTGTAAAAGTTGATGAGGCATTAATAAATAGTAAAATTTTATCTATTGCTGCCAACAATGATATTATATGTAAGTATTAAGAAATTTAACAATTTAGATTTAAACACTAATCATTTATTTCATTGCATGGTACTTAATCATTTATTTTCCTTTAATATTTAAATTGTGTGTCTCATAATCAGTGGTGATGACTTCAAATAAATGCTTAGCAATTAACAAACAAGATGGCACTTGTAATAGTTATTCAGGGAATAATCAGATACAATTTGATGAAAAACATACTGGAATGTGGTGTTTTGATTTGTTATATAATAACTTATGGCAGTAAGAAATTTAATATTTAATGTCTATAATACAGAGTGATTCACTAAGTATGTTCATCGTAATTTATTTTTTAATAATGAATTTATTAAAATTCTAACTTGGAATTTTAAATATATTTCAAGAAACTTATATATTGTCATTATTTTGAGATTTTTTTTACTATTTTGTGTTTTGGTGATATACTCTTCTATTTCTGATTTTTAAATAATAACTCTTTTTTACCATAAATTATTTAGTGAATAATATTTTTTGAAAAAATTGGTATACTTCATTCAAAATTTTAATTGTAGAGTTTTGGTTTTTAAAATGTTTGTATTGAAGATAATAGTTTTAAAAAATAATTTTATTGAAACATAAAATATTTTTAATGCTGGAATTATTTTTTAAATTATAATTTTAACATTTTTACTAATAATAAATATTAATAGATTAATATTAATTATTAACATTTTCAAATCATCATAGTTACCATAGATATATTGTCATGGATTTATTATTCTTAGCACATAAAGTTTAATAACTTTAAAATTATTCTTTCAAATTTTTATTTAAATATGTTATTTTTTTTTAGAAAAAGGCCACAAAATAAGTTTAGCTTAAAACATGGTTCTCATTTAAAAACAAATTTCTTTTTCATAAGAAACTTGAGCATAGTAGTAGTTATTTATTACAAAATAAATAATCTATAATGGCTTATTCAAAATTTATTAATTTAAATAATTCAATTAGGCCGTCTGGTGGCTTATTTTTAGAAAGCTAGAATTATAACATTGTTATAATATAATAGTAATTAGTGGTGTACAACCACAAAATAAATGATTTTATCTGCTGTATAGTTGTAGTAGCACATGCTACGCAAAAATACAATACTTTGTTCATTAAACTTATTTTGTGAGAATAAGAACCTTGGATTCTATAGTAATATTTATACACCAAATTTCATCACAATAAAGAGGACAAAATTATTTGTTTTTTTTAGAGATTTTTTCAATGTCTTATTTCAATGGTTTTATATAATTTTTTGAAATTGAACAAAAAACACAAAAATTTCTCGTAAAGGCTCTTTTGACATTAAGAATATAGGCGTGAAACGTCCTCTTAAGTTGTAAGAAAATTCCCAAAAGTTTTGAAAATATGGTGTTTTAAGTTAAATAAAAATATATTTAAAAATTTCAAAGTTGATTTTAAATTACTATGTTATTGAAGAAGAAAAGAAGGAGTGAGTATGTTTGGTGAATCACCTGTATAGACTTGATAATTATAAGTAGAGCACGGATTTATACTCTATAAAGTATTAAAATAAGTTGTACAATATGTTATGAGTATTAAAAAATATTTTAACAAATAAATAAATAATATTAAAGAATTTTAAATGTTAGTTTAATATAATATATTTTATTTTAATTTGAATAGAATATATACTTGCATTGTAAATTCATTAAAAAGTGTAATAAATCTTTAAAATAACTTATTGTAAATGATTTTTATTAGAATTATAGATGAAGTTTATTAACATAAATCTTAAACCTTAAAAGAAAGAATATATGATTCTATATAGATCCGTGATCTAATTATAAACTATAATAATCATTAATAATATTTATTTATTTATGTTATTTATTGATTTTTAGTATTAATGATATAAGTGAAAAAGTTATGGTTACATGTTATAACGTGAATAGTGCTTGTAGAAGACATAATGATACCAGTTCCTTATTGAATTATGAATTAGCATTGCCACCTACTGCTGGGATTTCAGTATCTCGAATTCAAGTTTTAGTTAATTTATTAACTTGTATGGACATTTTGGCCCAAAATTTATCGTTGTTCCCTATTGGTATAGCATCATCTCAAAGTAATATACCAGTTGTATCAAATACGGTAGAGCCAAAAAAGGAATTTTTACACATTAACCGATTTGCAAGTATGTATAATGAATCATAATTTTATTTTGGATTGTATTTTTAATTTTTAAATTAATTTATATTTCTAGGTTTAGGTGGTGGATGGGGGTATTCTGGACATTCGGTTGAGGCTATTCGGTTCTCAGTTGATTGTAATATTGCATTAGTTGGTTTTGGTTTATTTGGAGGAAGAGGAGAATATACAGTTAAACTGAAGGTAATGTGAATTTATTGATTGTTATATACAATAAAATTAAATATTAAAAAAAAATCTAGTTTACTACTTGGTTAAAATATGTATAAATGAATTTTATTTCTTAAAAGTCACATTATACTTTACATTAGATTTTCCACTCATTAACATAAAATTATGTTGTTTAATGACTTTCAATTGTTATTTTAGAAGTTAATTTAAGTACTTTTTTTAATATTATTTAAATCATATAAAAATATCTCATATTTATTATTTTATAATTTATTTTGTGTATAACACTTTGTAAATTAAATATTAAAATTATTGAATTTGTTAATTTAAAATAGAAAATTATAGTTCTAACACTAATTCATATATTTTTTGAATGTAGGTTTATGACATTGGTGTAGAAGGCGGTGAGCGAGAAATTGATGGTGAACTATTAGCCGAAACTGATGAACTTACTTATGAATGTGCTCCTAGGCAAAAAAATCCAGTCTTATTTGATGAACCTATTGCTCTTTTTGTAATTATTATTAATTTATTTGAATATTAATATTATTAATATTCATAATAATAATAATATTTAAAATTTTTGTATTTATTCAGGCAAATCGATGGTATGTGGGATGTGCTAGAATAACTGGTCCATCAAGTGATTGTGGTTCTAGTGGAATGTGTAGTGTGACAAGTGACGAACAGTAATATAATTGCTTTGGTGTTCTTCAATAATCATTGTTACAATAATTTGTAATTTTATTTATTAGAATTACATTTACATTCAAATCATCTCGGAGATCAAATAATGGTACTGATATAAATGCTGGACAGATACCTGAAATATTATATAGAACTGTTATTCCTGATTCATTGTCAATATCAACTATACATACATCAAACAATGATATTCATATATTAAGTGATGCTTTTTCACACTCAGTTAATAAGGTATTGAATTGAAATTGATTTTGAATAATAAATGCTTGTTTTAGTTCTTTGTTGATTATTATTATTGTTTTGCTTTATTTGATATGTACAATATTTATTTTGTTTGCTTTGTGTTTTACTTTTTTGATTTGTTAATAATATTGTTTTATTGTAAAAGTTTGTGTGTTTATACATTTTATGTGTTTATCCCCTTAAAAATATCCATGTTGTGATGTATGGTGTTAATTATTGGTGGGATATTAAAGAGAAAAGTGTTTTATTTTTGTATTTATAAAACGCTAGTATAAATATTTGGTGAACATTTTAATTCCAATAATAGATATACCTTTTTGTTAAAAAAAAAAAACAAGGTTTATTTTTTAAAACTGGTGTTTGTGCAAATATTCTTGTTTGAATGACTATTAAACATAGTATAGGGTGCTTTGAATTTTATTAATTTACTCTCTAAAGTAACATAGTTTAAAATTTACTACAGAAAACTATGCTCAATGTTATAGATTTAAGTAAATTTGATGTAAAAAAAATCAAATGCCATTGTAAAATAATGATACACTCTTTAATCATCTCTGAATTATGAATATAAAAAGGCACTTTAAAATAGTTTTATGTATTTGTGTTTGAAAAATATTCCATTAATTTCACTACTATACAGCCACAAGTAATTTGGACTAGAAATAAAAAAGCATTAAAAGATAAAAACTAACAACAAAAATCTAATTTAATATTTAACTAAAATTATGTATGTCAATATAATTATAATAGTAATAGATTATTAAACTCAAAATGCTTAAATATATATATATTTTAATTAAAATAAAACATTTTTAATTACCATAATAAATAAAAGTTTTGAATAATAATTTATTATTATTTTTTTTTTTTTTTGGTATTTTTATTATGCTTTTAGCTCTAAAATGTATTATATTACAAATTTTGGTACGTGAATTCATTTAGTTTACGTTTTTTGGGCAGAAAATACATACAGAAATACTATACAGAATAGGGGCCATTATTCTCGGTGGGTATAGTATACGTAGTACTGCCCAGTAGCATGTTAAACAATTTTTAGACCTGAGGCAAACTACAATTTGATTTTAGTAACTTAATCTTGGTCATGTATCTACAGCTTTTATTCTAAATTTTATTTTACTTAATAGTACAATATTATTATTATTAACTTTAAGTCATACTAAATCCATTGCCCTCAAATACGTCTATTTTGGCACGCTACTGATCAGCGTCACTATCAGTCATGTTTTAAATTGTAATCAAGAATATAATTTCTTCATATTTACTTTCAATTTTTTCTTGGCTTTAACTTAATACTTACCTTGTCACCTACTATGTCTGTTGAATAATAATTAGAAATAAGATATACGTATCATTGTGAGCATATTTTCACGATTAAATAATATATTTGATAGGCAACTAAAGTTACACCGCTTAAAATGGCAATCAAGCACCATTAAAAAATGTTACGATATTTTGTATCAGTTGTATAATGTTGATTCTCATATATCGATATAACAGATTATCCTATTTTTGGCTATCCTGCTTATTCGTATATGCATCGTTGAAGGGTCGTAGTCACTATTAAGTTAAATTATCCCAACTATATTTTATCAAATGACAATATGTAGTTACATACAAATATTGAAGTCTTAATCATAATAATTTAAAATTAGAGTTAAAACTATAGCATTGGTACGAATTTATCAGTTTTGATTAGTGTCATTGTTAATTGTAATATGTATTGTATATTAATTTAATAATATATAATAATTATAGTTTTTAATTTTTATCTTTATTGTGTGGACATAACTTGTTGTCTAATTAGTTACTCGTTTTATTATTTAAATGTTTTTGTTTTATTTTATTGATTAAAATCATGGTTAAATTGGATTATTTAAATAAATTTGTTTTGCTTAGTTATTATCGTTAATAATTCAAATGAAATATTGGATGAAATTAACGAAAAAGTCGAGAAAAATTGCGCGTATTAAATACATTTGTCACAATTTATATATACATTTATTTTTTCGTATTTTTTATAATCTTATTTCAACTATGAATTTTTCTCTTTGTCAACTTATAAAATGTATGTCTATGTCCCTGATTCATACGTTTTTCCGGTCGTTCATATTGATGTTGAAAAAAAAAAATCAATTATTAAGATACTGATAGATACATCATTTTTGGTTTCGTATCGATTGATGATTTTTTTTCGTAAATTCTCTATTAATTTAGATACACAACTGATGGATACCACATGTCAAATGCCATAATATGTTGTGCCGTTAAACGCGTTTGTTCGACTCCATTGGAAATAAACGAGTTAACGAAATTAGTGTACATTTAATTGCCTATATATAGCGCCACATTATACTTACAAAGGTTAATTAATGTTTTACGATTTATGTAAAATTAAATAATAAAAATATGAACGTAATTCTAAAACATAATGGTAGAGTATATTGTTTTTTTATAGCTTGATGTATTTTTGATGTGTTAAATAAATTGTGTTAGACGCTGTGTAAATTGTATTGGATTTTTAATTCTCAGGCCTAAATTCATAATCGGTGTGTAAAGATTATTTTAAATATTTTAATTGAAATTCAACTAATGTGAGTTTTGTTATGTAATTGCTTGTAAGATTTATTAAGACGGCAATAAATGTAGCGTTGCATGATCAAACACACAGATCGGCAATTGTAAAGTTTTTAAAATTACGAAAACTGTATTTAATGAATACGAGTACGTCTTGAGTCTTAATTGTTAATTTTTGTTCTTTAGGAATGTTTTAATGCTTTGATAACACTACTTCGTTGGTCGTGGACAACAATCAATAAAAACATATCAGATATGTGTCTTCCATATTCGCAGAAAAACTATTACATGGATTTATCGAAAAAAGATACTTCGTCAATTTGCGAACTTAAACGACTGATGTTTATAAGTCAATCATGTTTCCATTTACTCCGTTCTTATATTCATGAGATATATCCAGACCACAGTACTGATGATAATTTGCAACAATAATTGTGTAGTGTAACAAAATAATTAACGAGGGTATTTTGAATGTATTTCAGTTGACAAGATGAAGCTACAAGAAACTGAAGCTCTCGCTAGTTGTGTTGTTGAAGTCCGACAACTTTTACAAAAAATATTATCAGATGTTCGTCCACACGAAGTATTAAAAAACGTTGATCGGATATTTATTGACAATAAAGGTAATATGATTTGTATTACCTAGCTTTAGATTTCAATTTTTATTTTTGGAAAGCGTTTGAAACTGTTAAAAGTATTTGAGAATGTCAATTGATATTCATATCATATGAATAATTTTCCCTGAAACATTAGTTAATTAGTAAAAGAAAAGAAAGATGATATTTTAAATTTAATTTTACTAGGGTCTTCTCTCTAATATGGTTAATCATATTTAGAAATTAAAAGATTCAATGTCACTTCTACTTTGTTTTAAAAACATGACGTAGGTAATTTATCCTTATCAAAATAAGTGAACAGGAAAAGTTAATTAAACGTAAAGAACGAGATACTAAAATTAAATTAACAGAAATGATATTATAATGATATTATAGCAATGTCGCCTATGTGATGAGAATAAAAAAAAAACTAACCACTAAATTAATAATTAATAATCAGATATAATATTGCCATTAATCAACTATAAATGATAGCATTTAAATTCGTATATTTTGTTTGTGCGCAAAAAAAGATTGAATTAGTTTTAAAAATATATAAAAGTAGTTAATTTATAAGTTATAATTTATAAATGCTAAAAAAAGTTATAAACGATTATAATACTTTATTTAATTTTTATCTTTATACATTGATTAAACACTAATTTCAATATAATTTATGGTTAATTTAAATTTTAAATAAACTTTGTTTGATGTTTATACATATTATAAAAAATGTGAAAAGGTATATTGATAATGTATATTGAGTAGAACATTTATTTAGTGGTTCAAGTATAGTATCATGTACTTAAGGAGAATTCGTGGACTTATAAAATTATAAAACAGAATTCAGTTTGATATATTATATATTACAGATCATATTTTATATGAATTTATTATTAGGTGGCACTAGTTCAAATACTTACCTCGGGTATCATGGGCACAGCTAGGATTTTAATCAGGGAGGGGCAGTTAATAAGTTTTTTTTTTGCTTTTTTAATTTTATTGTAAAACTTACACCCCACCCTTGTCGGGTATCTTTTATATTTTCTACTTGTGACATGGAGTACGAGGCACATTCATTAACCATTTGGAGGCACTTATTTTTCATTAGGTGGTATTTGTGCCATCTATTTTATATGTTAAAATATGCTCTGATACATTATAAAATTATACAAGTCTACTATATTTGAATTTTAATTTATATTGGACATAAAAAAAATTGTATAAAAAAATAATGAATTTTAACAACTGGGTACTAACTTTGTTGTATAGGTTTCAGTGTACTCCTTTATTGAGTAGACCATTATAATGTACGTGTTAAATTTTATGTCATTGATAAAATATCATTGTATATAATAAGCGATTTTGAGCAGAGACAGTTTTTCAGTCTAAATGTTCAAAGCAATGTTTTTCAATCTTTGTATTATGACGACACATTATTCACATATTTCATACTTTTTGACATAATAAAAAAAAAATAAGAATAATGGTTTATATTTACTATTTAGTTTTAATTGATGATTTAAAATTAAAAATTAAAGTATAAAAAATAATGATAGATTTATTAAAAGATAACTTATTTCATAAATAATTTTCATTGAAATTATATTAAATAAATATTAATTTTTATTAATCGCGTTAAAATTTTTTTTTACATTTTGCGTTATTTAATATACTTTGCGACATATTTGGACTTATCCGGCGATACACTGGTTTAGACGTACTAATTTAAGGATATTTATTACATATTTAATATTACTATTAGTGATAGGTAGATTTAACTCATTTTTTCCAAAAACAAATTGCTTAATATGTTGTATAGTAATTTATTGTTATACTACAATTTCATATACTTAACATTGCTGCCTGTAAACCTGTTATTTTACATTTATTTAAGACAATACCGATGTACCATAGAACAGCTTAAATAGTTTCACAATATAAATAGCTTAAAATTAATTAAAATATTTTTAAATTTAATTGAGAAGGTATAATAAATAATAAAACGCAGTTATAAAAAGTTTCTAGCCTGAATGAATAATAATTATTGAGTTATGTACATTAAAATAATTATAATTTTAATTTTTGTTTAAATATATAATTTTAAAATTTTGAATTTGATTTGTTTATAGTTAAATTGTGCATTTGTATTTCTAAAAATGTAGCATCTTGTATTAAATGTTTAATTCTTAATAATTTAAATTGAAAACTTTATATATTTTTAAGTATAGGTACCTATAAAATAAGTTGAGGACTAATCAAACTTTTTTAAATGATAAAAAATTTAAAAAATGTTGCTTAATATGTATTTTTGATATTTTTAAATTAATGTAAGAACATCTTATGTGAGATATTGTGTTACATTTTTTAAATTTTTTTGGCCGTATATAACACTTTTTATTATCAATCGTAGTATTTTGCAAGGGTTTGTAATTTCAATGCATTATGTAAAAATTCGAGTTTGAAACGTGTATAAAAAATGTATTAATTAATGACTACCTATATATATTTTCGATATTTTTTGATTGGATTATATACAGCTTATATGCTATTTATTGTCCTTTATATTCAGTTTTAAGTTTTTTTACTTGCAAACATACATTTTATTATATACGTAAATTGAAAAATATATCAATTTTAGAAAATGCTAATATAAATATTTTGCAAAGAATAAATGTTTGTAGTTATTTGTTTTTGAATAACATCAAAAAATGAAATTTATTTTGTCAATAACTGGTAATAATGTGTAAAAATTTTTTTTCCTATTATTTTCTTTACTTTTGTGGAATATTTTGAATAGTAAAAAGTACTGAAGTGCTAATTAGGTTCGATTTGCAATTAGAAACTATTTTTAAATTAAAAAGCAAAACATTTTTTTAATATTTACTGCTTTAAAAGGTTATTACAGATCAAATTAAAAATCAATAAATCAATAAATCAATAAAAAAAATTGTACAATTTACAGTCAATGTTCAGTTTAAAATTTAAGATCCAGGAACTGAAATTGAGCGCTAACGTACATGAGTAAAATTTAGCTACACATATACGTATGGATTGTTATTGTGGTCTAGTAACTTAAATATTTCATGGAATTGCTATTTGTTTGGAAATGAAAATATTTTTCATGCCATTTATATAAACTAATGTCACGATTCACGTTTATCATAAACTATAACAATTATAATAATAATTTATAAATCCAGTGTTTTAGTTTTACTATAGATAGTTTATTTAACTTCATTAAATGATATGATCTAATATTACAAAAATTTCATCATTTTTATTGCATACATTTTTTTATACACTTAAAAGATAAAATAAGACTTATAAAAGTACCTGTACACAAAAAAATTAGTTGACAAGGGAATTCCGAGATTTTTTATTTTAAGTTATAATATGTCTTGATTAATGTTGTATTAAAATGTCAAACAAAAATTACCTTTGTTAAGTACTTACCATCTATATCTAATTTTCAATCAATAAAAGGGTTATTTGAAACTTCTTAACCTACCTTGAATTTTCTTTAAAAATTATTTAATGAAAAAACAAATAATTATAATTTAATAATCTTTATTAGCTATTATATTTTAACTATATAGTACAGAATCTAAAAATTAAATGTACCAAACATTATAAGCATTTAATTATTTTTTAAATTTTATTTTTACAGGTAGTGAAGTAGTGAAAATTATGAAATGTATTAAATGGTTAAATCAAATATTGAATGAATGTCATATGACATTTGTGTCATGTTATCATGCGTTTTATCCTACACCTCATTTGAAGCTGTATTCTCTATGGGAACTATTGATTGACAAAAAAAATGTAAGGTGTTTCTAACAGAACTAAAATATGCAATTGTATTTATTTTGTTATTTTTGTTAGACTGATCATAAGAATAAGCTACTTACTGCGGTTGTGGCTGCATTGTGTAACACTACATATAGACTTCGTGATCTTATGCCAATATTGAAATCAACAAAGCCCAATGAAAAATCTGGATCATTAGATAAAGATAATCAGTCTTATTATCCATTATTAATTAACGCTACTACATCAGCGGCCCATAATAATTTAAAAAGTGAACCAAATTGGGAAATATTACTCACACATCTTTTAGATATAATAGGGTTACCAGTGCGAAATGCAATATTGAATAATAAAAAACCCGACAATGATTTGAAATCACTTTCTACTAATTGTTCACATCTCGTCGCGAGAGTTGTAGCTGAACTATCATCACAAGCTATTTTATCTGAAGTAATAAAAAAGATTTACCTAGTTGTTAGATATCGAATACTTATAAATATTACATTTTTTTTCTCAGGATGGAACAGAAATAGTTAATGAAAGAGAAATTTTACTAACTACTCCTTCTAGATTTGCTAAAATTAATCAAACCAAAACATGGAATGCTGGTAATGGTTCTCCTGATGCAATTTGTTTCTGGGTAGATCGTGCTGGTATTACTATTGCCGGTTGTGGTGTGTTTGCTGGGGTTGGAAATTATGAATATGAACTTGAATTGTTGGCAGAGGTGATTAATAGTTTATTTTAAAAATATATTTTTATTTAGTAATTAAAAAAGATACTTCTCTAAGTATTATAATTTTTGCAGAAAAAACACTTGGAATTTGATGAACCTCATGGTAATCGATGGAAAAGCTTAGTAGTAACTAGAGGATCTTTTGGACCAGATGATAGTGCTATGAATTACGTTGCGGATCTAAAATTTGATCACCCAATACGAATTAAGGTAAAGGGGAAAGTTTAATTTTTGTAATAATGAAATTTAATATACAAATTCACACGTTAATTTATTTACAATTAATAGGAAAGAGTTAAATATGCAATCCGCCTAAGAAACTATGGTGGCCGAACAAATAACGGTGATATGGGGTTAAGTTGTGTAAAAGGACACGATAATACACTTTTTTCATTTAATACATGCTCATTAAGCTTGAATGGAACCACTCAATCTCGTGGTCAAATACCGTATATACTATATTATAGGTAACATGAATATAATTTAACAATTTTAAAGTGCTTTCTAATTTTAAATTACTCTTTGCTAGTAACAGTCATGATAAAAATTGCGATTTTGAACGTAAAGTATGTAATAAAATCAAAGCTCGGGAGAGTACATTATCATTATTAAAAACAGTCGTGGAAAAATCATTGGAGTTAATAAATATGAGTACTGAAAAATTAAGAAAAGATCCACTTGTGTATAAATATTTAGGAGAATCGGCTATTGTGAATGTATTGCTTCCATTAGTATTGGCGCATATTGGCCCGTTGACATCTTTTTCTAAAGATGCAAAGGTATTTTAAATTATTATTTATTTTATATAATATTAAAAGCTGTAGAATTATATTATTTAACGTTATTTGTATGCATTATATATTTTCAGAGTGCTATTCATGTGTTGGAGCTCATAAACAAGTTGCTACCGGCAGTGACGTCCATTAATTTGTACTACGCTAACAAATTAGATGTAACACATAAAGATTTAAGTGATAAATTGGATGGGTCAAAACAGTTTGGAAAGTTCAAATCCTCCAAAACTGAAAATAGAGATTCCAAATGCACAACAACGTCCCATCATTATGCGTGGGTTGAAAGCGATCATCCATATACAGCTGCGACTGTATCAAATTACAAGTAATTTATTTAGTATCATTGTTGTTATTATTTTTCGTTAAGTTTATTTTAAATGATTTTGGTGGGTTTTTTTTTAATTATATTAGAGTGAAATTCCCAAAAGAAGTCAAGTGGTTATGTCTTGAGTTTGACCCTCGAAGTTGTACTGCACAGACTGAAGATTCATTGCAACTTTACATCCCAAATTATCGAGATTATAGCAATGATGATAACAAACACGTAGCTACTACTCCTTATATACCGGTTTTGAAAAAATTTAGCAATGACCCAATGGAGTGGCCATTTGCTGCTGTTATGTTACCTGGTATATATTATTTTTAAATTTAAAATTTGTCATAAAAACATTTTGTTTCATCAATATATTTATATATAGGTAATGAAGTTATGTTTTCACTGGAAACTGCGTCAGATTATCTTAAGAATGATAAAATTTCTCGGTATGGTTTTCGCTGTCTAGTAATTGGATACGAAGTAGAAGAGCTAAGTAAATATCAAGCTCTTGGCTATGGCCTTGTTCATTTGGAAACCGAACTTTCATTCCTCGGAGGGATGTGTGTCTCAACACTTTTAAAATGTGATATAATTTTACCCAACGGTAATTATTCATCCTTGAAAGTTCAAGCTCATAAAAATTTTAACCGAATTGTATTTGTAGACGATTCTACGCATAGCTTAGAACAAGGTTCAGTGGCAGCTGCTGATGAGGTATATGCTAAACATTCGGGGTTATTGAAAAAAGGATTTGCGTTGGCGCCATTTCTAAATATTCAGCAGGTCATGGACGGTGTTTTGCCATTGAGGTAAGTGATAAGAATATTACATTAGTACTCATTGCATGCGCGTAGACTATGATGCGTTTTTTCTCTGGCGAATGAAATGTAATTTATCATTATAAATACTTAATGGGGACAATTGAATAGAGAATAAGGTAACGAGAATACCCGGAGACCAGTGTTTTTGTTGTGAATACAGCGTTTTGTTAAAACTTTGAATGTTGGAATGGAAAATAAAGTAACTTTGAAGTACTAGGTACTTAGAAATTTAAATAAAATTGATTTAATACGACTTTGAGTAATATTTGAACGTGTAATTAACTAAAACAAAATTATTTAGAGTATTTTCATTAAGTAATTTTTTAAGGCGATTATTCAACTGGGTAGTGTTAATAGCACTATAATAAATCGTACTTTGAAATACTTAAATTGAATAAAGTATGCATTACTATTCAGAGATATTATTTTTTAAATCCAATATAATTTAAGTAAAATATGTAAAATTAAAGCGCAAATGATATTGGCGGATAAGCTGTAATTAAATCATAGATAAAAATAATATTAACAAAAAACTTATTTTATCTATTAATAATTCCATTATTTTTTTCGATAACAATTATTAACATTTATCTGTTCTGTGACTGGAAAATTCTTTAAAACATAAATCTACATTTCCTACTAGTATACGATAAAATCGATTAAAATATATATTTTATAATTTTTTTCACTTTTTTAATTTGTTCTCTTTTTATTTGTATTTTTATAATTTCTCAAACTATTTTAATACAAACAATTTATGAATATTCATATTTTGATTTCAAGACAAAAAATATTCTGAATTTTGATTTTTTGTATATTATTTTTGATATATTTAGATTTTTTTTATTATTTTACATCAATAAAAGAGCTAAGAACTATACCTTTTTAGGCACAGTCTGATAATTTCTAAATAAGTATGATAATGAGTAATATTAATTATTATCGAATATTGTAGTTTAGCTGTTAAATATACTGAATACGTTTAATATGTATGATTATTGATCGTATAGACTTTTATATATTATGTAGAGAGTTTTGATAAATAATATTTTCTTACTATTTTCGGTGATAGTATTGTTGGGATTGTAATTTTTATTTTAAAACGATTATTATCGTAAGTTTAAAAATATGTAATAGTGTCTTTTAGATGTTTTCTCCCAATTTGCTACAAACGTAAATTTTAAGTTATTTACACAAAATAAACACAAATATTTTTGACGTGTACAATATCATTTGTTAATATTTATTATACCACGGAAAGTCGGTTATTAGTATTTTAAAGACATATCTTGTATAGATTAAGAAAATAATAAAACTTAAAGAGAATTCTGTATAGGACTTTGATAGTTTTGGATAATGTAGTGTATTCGTTTATTTGATAGTTATCTGATGTATACAATTAATTTATTAGTACAGTCAAAGCGTCCTTACGTTTTATTATTTTCACATGGCAAATCAAAAACCTGCAACAGGATACATTAGGACAAATTAATTACTAATATAAAATCTGTTTACGTATGTTCATTTAATATCATTATAAAAGGAAAATATTAGATATTTGTTGTTGAGAAGCAAATTTTTTAACTCAATAAAATACAATTGGTTTATTTGTTTACTGGAGGCTGATGGCGATAGTAATAATATAGTTGTAGTATAATATTATATATTATGTGTAACATTATTGCGGTCAGTCGTTTGTCTACAAAACATAGTATACGATTACAAATAATAAAATTTACAAAATACCGATTACATAGAAACTGACGTGTTAGGATAAATTTGTTCATTTGTACACAGTAATATATTTATTATTATTATTATTATAATTATTATATGATACAGAAAAGTCGGAATAGGTTACAAAATAATAAAAAAAAAACAATCAAAACGAAACGAAATCAAAAACCGTTAATAGGAATCGGGAATAAAAAAATAAAAATCCGTTACAAATCACTGGTCAACGGTTGCGTTGCTCTCCGATGTTGGTAATTGGTCGTGGACCTGTACTGGCCGTCCGCCGAACCTGTCCGCTCCACGATCACGTGCAACTCGGTTTCTCTGTAAGTCTTTCCCTCGGGCATGACCATCACGTGGCCGCGCTTGTCGCCGCCGCTGCCGTTCTTCACTATCGAACGGTTCTTGAGCGGCGACGACGCCGGCACGTTGGTCCACTGGCTCCGCTTGCGCTTCTTGTACCACGTCCAACCGACGAGCGTGGCCGTTAGCGCGGCCACGGCCACCACGGCCACGAACGTCAGGCGGTACCGGCCCATCAGACTGCCGGCGCCGCCGCCGCGCCCGTCGGCCGCCGAGCAATGCGCCTCGTCGTATTGTTGCGCCTTGACCAGCGGCCGAAGTCGACGCCGTCGTCGCTCGGCGCCGTCTGCACCGCGTTCGTCGACAGCCAGCTGGGCCGGTCCGTGTGCCGACGAACCGTGGAGGCACGGCTGCGCGTGCGCGCACCGGCGGGCGCCGCAGTCCCTCGATCAGCCAGTCCATGCGCGAGCCGGAACCCGTTCGTGTCGAACACGAGCGCGTCGTTCTCGAACTGGCCACCGTTGTTCTCGAACACGAACCTCGGTAATCGCCTGGCCACCTGCGCGTCCACCGCGACCTCGGCGAACGCGCGCGCTCGCGAGCCGAACGCGTTCTCGACGAACGCGGGCCCACGGCATTCGCACTCGAACGCCGTTGCAGACACCCAGCCCGCTGTTCTGCACCGGAAACTTAGGGCCCGTGCAGCGGAACGAGCTTGGACCACCGGAAACGTGACGTCGTCCAACCGGAGCTCGAATTGGTATCTCGGTGAGCATCCGTACGCGCGCCTCGAACGGCATCCTTCATCACGAACCGTTGACGGCGAACTTTGAACGCCTGTGTCGACCTGACCGAAAACCGTGTCCTGGAACTCGATGCGGCCGTCGTACCGGTCAGGCTGCTGAACGCGAACGGCCGGATGCCGTCGATTCGCACCCGGTTGAACGTGACCGACCGCAGCCGGCCGCGGAACGCGTAGCTGGGCACCTCCGGCACGGACGTCACGTTGGTGATGGTCACGGTAAGGCCCTGGTGATGGTGGTGCTGCGGCTGTGGCGGCTGTCCCGGGCCGCCGCCGCCGTTCTCCGACCAGCCGAACGCCTCGTCGGCCATTTCCAGCTGGCGCACCGAATCGATTTCTACGGTCCACAGCGACCTAGCCCCGTCGAACGCCATGGCCATCACTTTGATCCGATCGCATTGGGTGACTATCACGTTCGTGGCAACCCGCGGTACGTGTCCTGGTCCTTGAGCTTTTAACACGATATCCTGAAACATCGAACCGATAATAATTATTGGGCACTCGACACGTTTGTCGCGGGCAATAATATTACGACCAGGCGAGTTCGAAATCTGTTAGCACTTTATTTACCCCGCACGATAATTTGGAGCGTGCAGCGGGGTCAACCCCCCCCCCCCTCACCTCACCCCACCCCTTACACCCCCAGTGCGTATGTTGTAACAATGTTTGGGTGCGAGCTTGCATGAGACCCGGAGTTGTTATTGGGTTCTACACGGGAATCGGTAATAAATTATAGTTTACCCGGTCGCGTATTGTGGTGGGTGCGGCTGGCGCGACGACGTCGCCGACGGCAGTGGAGGCGTTCAAGAAAAACAATGGTACGCGCGCGCGACTGAAAGGATTAAATAGCCGTCCCGGACCCCGAACGATCCCTTTGTCGATTTCGGAGGTTTGCGTTTGTGTGTTTGTGTGTGCAGAGTTCTTGATGTTTCGGATTAGGTGGTGGCTTTTGTGGGAGGAGGTATTTGCTGCGAAACTTTCGTACAACGAAAACACGTCGGCTAAGTGCCTTCTCGGTCGCCTTGACCGCTGCGGGGCGAAGGGTATGGCCAAAGGATAATTCCTCGAGTTTTATTTTCTAGGGGTCGGCGTGGGTGCGTGATGTGTGTATTCGCGAAACATTGTCGCGCCTCGGTGGCGTCCAAATTCCCGGTTAGTGGTATCTCAACCGTATGCGTACTCGTATACTTACATTTCTTTCGTGTATACTACAAACGAGGTGGTATATAAAGTATTATAAACAAACGCGTGGTTATAGTTATCTCACCTCAGGAATTGTGGATTCCTCTCTACACTTGTCACTCGGTCAACAGCCACTACCCTCGCATCCCACGACCTCGAATAATTAATGTCAGTTTATTTAACAGCGTGGGGACCTCTCCACACCTTCGCTGTTGTCACAACGTTATTTGGCAAGCTTTGGTATATTTTATTTTTTTTCCTCCCGGTCCGGAAAATACTTCGACAGCGTTCGCTAACGATGACATATGTGTACCCGGCTGAAAATAGATGTTGGGCTTTACATCATTGAGGATTTTAAAAGTGACCCGAATGCGATCTTATTTTGTTCACGTCCCGGGCTTTTGTCCCCATCGATCTTCCCCTACTCTGGGATTCCGTCCCCCTTTTCGTACACTTAGTTTTTTTTCGGGTCTTCTCATTAATTAATCGCCATCGGATAATCGTGTCTCGATTCATTTCTTTACAAAAAAAAAAAAAAAAAATAAATAAATAAATTGTTGAATCAAAAACCTGTCATTAAAAGAAGCAATGAGAACCACCACCGCGTGTTTCTTTTACTTTTTATATAAATAACATTTATCCTCCCCCTCTCATTCATAATATTATTATTAATGTAACAAAATCTAGGTAAAAGAAATCTTTTTTTCAAAACAGCTGGTCGAGGGTAAAAAATTGTGAGGTGACACTTTTTTTATTTATATAAAAGATTACCGGCTTACAAAACACGCGAAAAAGTAATTTGTGTAGCGTTACGTTGAAATTATCATCAACTATGCGTTTAGTCACGCCCAACTCTAAAATAATGGTACTGTAATATATGGGAGAGCTCGAGTTAAATATATTTAAATGGAAATTTTGAAAATATCATAAGGAGAGGAAAAAACACACCTTATAAATAAACCACACC